AAGAAGAAGAAGAAGAAGAAGAAGAAGAAGAAGAAGAAGAAGAAGAAGAAAAACAACAACCTTTCTGAAAGTTGCATAATCCTTTCAAATTCTCCTGCATGTTCAGCAACTGCCACCAGAGCCGTGACATGAGCCTAAAAAGAACAGAACAGAACAGAACAGAATTCCAAACAATATAAATTAAGGGAAAGGTTAAAGTTTTCTGTACATTTTACTATTCTTCTTTAGCCAGGCCCCAGTAATATAAACCAAATGAGCATCACTGAGTACTTTCTATTTCAGGCCCTACGTTCAGTGAGTGTAAATGTCACCTCATTAACCCACACAGACCAAAGCTAGGCCTTGCTTTAATTCACTAGACAGAGACAGCCTTTGGAAGGAATCAAGCCCTTAGGCTCACATGTCAATTAAGAGGCCATATGACAGTGTGCAACTAGTTTCACAAATACTTCCAAGATTTTATATATTTTTTTTATTTTTCAGTTTTAATTTCTCCCTGTATGTGTACATGTGTGCTAGAACATGGGCACACAAGCATGTGAAGGTATATGTATGCCACAGCAAGCATGTGGCAACTGGAGGACACCTTTCCGGAGTCAGTTCTGCCCTTCCCCTGTGGTTCCAGGGGGTCAGAACACCAGGTTTGCAAGTGCTTTTATCCCGTCAGCCATCTCTCCAGCCCTTGCTAACTTTTTCCTAACAACTCAAAATGTTTCAGTACACTTTCGTAGGTGAGTTTAGGAAGAGAGAGACTGACTGCCCCATTCTACGGTGCCGCCAAGCATAGTGGCTGTAGGAACGCTTTCAAATCAGACTATTGTATCTCTATCACTTCTCTGGCAAGTGTCTCTGGCCTGCCACTAACCTTTAGACATTAGAACCCTCATCTGTCAAATGGAGAAAGCAGGACTATGAAATAGTAACTTCCTAAGGGGGTGTTGAGACTTAAAATGAGCTGGCCTTAATAAGGGCTTAGCTCTGCGGCTGGCATAGACCATGGAAACTCAGAGCATGTCTAAACGGTACCTAAAAATAGTATGTCAATCAAAAACAGGAGAGGAATGAAAAGGGGGTCAGTAATGGAAACTAACTTACCTTCTTGGCTTTCTCCAACACTTCATCCAGATCCTACGACAAACATAAGGGACCACACTTATTTTAATGAGTAATTAACTGATCGTTGGTCATATAAATTCAGCTGGGGCCCCAGGGAGCACAACAGTGTTTCTGCCACCCTGTGTAGCAGAAAATAAAGCACCTCCATCAACCCCCGTCCTGCACACACACACACACACACACACACACACACACACTGCTTTTACAACATCACTGTCTTACTGCCAGCTACTCTCCAGTCCCCTTGACTGATTGCCCTTTTTGTGACTTCCAGCTCTTCTGATCTCTCTGCACTTGTAAGAGATCTCATCTGTCTTGTTTATTTATTTAGCACCCTTGGTCACACCGTGCCAGCCCTCTGCCACTGAGCTATGCCCTCAGCCTCTCGTGGTTTAAGAAAGCAAGTTGAATCTCCAGATACCTCAGTTTTCACTCTCTCCTGAACCCACGACTCCTCACATTCTAAATCACCATGTAATCTTTCCATCTGGATGAGATCAGACTCATCAGTATGTCCCTGCTAGCGATTCTGTCTGCCTGACTCTCCATTCCTATCCCACAGCCTGGTCTGCCCTGGTATCAGCAAAGGGCATCACCACCTTAAACACAAACTAAAAATCCAAACCATGTTCAAATCCTTCCTTCCCCCTGGTCTTCACATCCAAATCTCCTGCATGTATTATTGCACTTATTTCTAAAATACGTCGAGGATATCTACTCTGGTTCTCATGTTATCATCACAGCACTGGCCTCCACCATCTCCTGTCTGTTTACTGGGAGTTCTTAAGTGGTTTAGCTTTGTCTCTTTCACCTTTTTGCCACACAGCAGCAAATTTGTCTTCGGCACATCGTTTTTCTTCTTTTAAATGGGCTGTCTTAAAACTTTAATGGGTTAAAAATGTGCATCGAACTAAAACAGGCCAAATTCCATACTGTCTGCCGGTGTTCCTGACGAACGCGCACTCAGACCGTAAGCGTCGCCTCCTAAGAAATAGAGACCTGCGCTCCTCCACCTCCAGCCTCCCCGAGGCAGCGGGTAAACTCCGAGTCTGTCCGCTCGCACAGGCCCCACCCCGTGTGCTCCGCGTTTGCCCCTCTCCCGGGGCCTCTGCTGAGGGCTGGCCGGGATCAGCACATCTCAGGAGGGGTAAGACTGTGGCGACCACAGTGTGCCGCCAGCTGACATCGGGAGGAACAGGCAGGACGACGACGGGGGTTCGAAGGGAAGCCGGTCGGCTCCGCACAGACCCGCTAGGGCCTGAGGATCTGCGGGAGAGAGGGTAACTTCCGGGAAAGGACGCGGCCCTCCCGACTCCCGGGGCCCCCGACTCGGCCTCACATACGCTGTTAAACTCCGGGGCGGAGAGATGGCAGTGACAGTCCACGAGCCCCA